GCAATCAAACAAGCAGTAGCTGCCATTACACCGGAAATGACACGAAGAGCTATGGCCATTCTCGAAAGTTAAAAGTGGACGGCGCAAAGTGTAACCTGTGGCACCGTCTTGTTGGAACCAGACTTCTCCCTTACCATGGTTCCTAGCAAACTGGTTTAGGTTAGGTCAGAAGAAAATGGCATGTATACAGCTATCGATCGATACCCCCTCCACCGTTGTACCACCACAACTCACACAGTGCCATTTCTAAATAAGGGAGGTTTTTTTGCCGGACCCTGTATCTTCCATAGAGACAATTTGTAACTCCTATCTTCCTGTCATGGTAGTAAAAATTTTGGAAAGAATTGAAATGCAATATTATAACTTAACTTAGAAAACTGTGAATGGCTGTACTGGAAAGTTATAAAAATCGAGTTACGTATTTTGTCGTTGGACACGTCGATATGAGTGGGGCCATTATGACGCATTGGTTTTGCAGCTTTCAATCCGGATATTCAGGTACTTCAGAACTCCGAGTATCTGTCCCAAAAAGCGTTATTGTTATTAATAATTACAAAATGATTTACTTTTTGTTGGAGAAAGAAAATGTAAAAGATGTTTTAAAAGAGGATTTTATTATATTCATTAAGTTAGTCCATACCTATCATATCTAAACTAGTGTTAAAATTAAGTTAATAATAAATTATATCACCGTAAAATAAAATTTTAAGTGTCATTATGATGGTTTCTTTAAAAAATATTATTTAATATATTTCTTACAATTTAATAAAATTGTTTGTTTTCAGTTGCTCCACTATTAATACCAATACAAGTAGTGGAAATAATTAAAATCGCAGAAAACAATAAATTTAGAAATAACACAAACATTGAAAATTTATTGAGCATATGGACCGAAATGTTCCTGGAAAAAAGTGAAATCGAGTGGACCCACTATAATTTGGGTTTGAGCACATTAGATTTCGTACCCATTAGGCATTTTTTTAGAATAAATATAAATACCAACTCAAGAATAACTGAAAGTAAAAATAAGTATCATTTGTAGAAATATGTTTCTATAGAATTAAATATGACCTTATAGACGCCGAATTTAGCATCGAGCGTTTACCAGTTTCGGATATCCCTCATACAAAAGGCTGTTCTTGGAGCAATTACAAATACAACGATGTAAGCTGCTTTGACCCATATATAAAAATCACAGAAGACAAAATAAAAAATGACATACAGTCAATGTCAGTAAGCGGAGTACCGTATTCTTCAGGCTTTGTACGCCTAACATGTAAGTACTAGGTAATCTCGTGTAAAGTAGATCTTACACGACATTATATAGGTGCATTTTTTAATCCTGGATTTGGATTATAACGTTTTGATTTACAACCTAATCTCATTACTGTTAATTTCAGTAACAGTACTGAGATACAGTTTAACCGTTACTACCCCATGATATCATTATGGCTGAAAATATACATATGGCCCCCAGACATCAGAGAATAGGCCGGGGTAATAACGGTTAAACTGTTTCAGATAGCACAAGACAGAGAAAATTGGAACATAATGATAGCCAACATCCACTGAGGTAGGTAATGGCACTTAAAAAAAGAAAACTTAAATTATTTTATTTTTAATTATGTTAACACTAACTGAAAAGTACCTAAAGATTAATTGGAATTTTTCTTTTTTGTAGTTATGTTACTGAAATTAACCTTACTGAGATTAGGTTGTAAATCAGATTTTATAATCCAACTCCAGGATTAAAAAAATCATATAAACCAAAATGTTTAATGAGAAGAACAGCCCATGAAAATATAATTATTAATAATGTTATTTACGTTTTTTTAGGTATACAAAACTATGATGATGGATCTATGGGCGTCTTTATTGTCCACCCTAAAATACGCCAACAACCAGCTACTCACTTGCGAAACCAATAGAATTTTTGGCCCGGCGTTATACACAAATTAGACCCGTAATTAGTATTTTTATATATTTTTTCGTATAAACACTAACTAGACAAAATTGTATAATTTACCATCTACTAAATACATGAACTTAACCTTTATTTATCTATTTCACATCCATATCTTAGCTCCAATATTTTCTTTTATATACATATCCTCGAATCTGATTTTTTTTAAATATAGGCTAAAGGTGCACTTGTTGCTTCATCATAATACCCAAAAAGATCGAGCACTCCTTAAAATTACTATTATTTTTTACCACAATTATACTACTTCTACACTAAAAAGTTAAACCTCTTGAAGCAGCTACAATTAAATTCACATCATGTAGTCTTTTTAAAATAACTTTTCAGTTTTTTGTTACACTAGACAAATTTGTTGGCATTTACTACCTACTCCAAACCGCAACAATGAATGTTGTAATTGTTTTCATTTAGGTACAGTAAGAAATACGAGTCTTAATATTTTTATGAAAAGAGTCTTACCAATTCTTTCCATACTATTTTTTATTTTTTATATACATAACCAATGAGAGGTAACTGTTGATCACATGACTTCTCCTATGGTATTATACTTGGATACTTCCTTTAGCTAAACCACTGCGATTTTGTATTAGTATAATATGGTTTCGCTAAATAAAGTGATGCAGTGTTATTTTTCGAAGTACTATAAATAAGCAAGTCCCGTTGTTTCCTTTGTTATTTTATGATTTGGTAAATAATACAAATTCTTAAAATATTTTACTGTAACCATCTTTAATCATAAGTTATTAATTTTTATCGAAATAAGTAGAATTTGCTTTTATAATTAGTTTACTTTTATCATTTGTTATAATATGCTAACATTAATATTGTGGTCCATTTCATTAATATTTTATTTAAGAAATTTCGAAGACATAAATACAAAGTAAAAGTTAAATGCAATACTTAATTACATATTGGGACTTAAGGGTTATTCCGAAGAACGGAAACAACTAAATAATATGTATATATATATATATATATGCATATATGCATAAAAACTGGAATTGAATAATTGTTAATTTAAAAAAAAATAACTAATAGCATACAATCATATCATCGAGCGTGATAAAACAATGAAAACAAAATATTGGAAAAGACAAGCTATAAGAGCCCAGAGAGAATTCAATAGAAGTAGTGATGTAGGAGTATTGTTATTAGAGAACGAAATACTTATTAAGAGGAACGGAAAGCAATATTTATTAAGGGGCAAAGGATAGGCAATATTTGACAAAAATTTATATCCATTATTTATAGCCATTTTTAATAAGCTGACTAATTTTAAGGAGAAAAAATATCAAGTTTTTTAGTTATACCTCTATTATAGCTATGTATCTCCGAGTTAAGGTGAAAGTTCGATAAAAAATTACTTTCGTAGAAGTAATTTCTGGCTTATCTATTGGACGGATTTAATTTTTTTAAGTGAAGCTTACTATTTTTGCTATATGGCGGCTAAAAGGCCGATTTTTTTACTCAGTAATTAGAAAATTAGTTAGACTTATAAGAAAAAGATTTCAGCCGAGTCTGCAACCACGAGAACATTTTCATGTCTCGCTGAAGTACCGAATACATTTAGAGTAGTGGTGGAATTATTGATAATCATATAGTATATTAACAAGCGGTAACAAGTTAGTATATTAAAACGTCAAGTTTCTGGCTAAAATTGTAGTGTTTATTATCTGGCTAAAAGTAACTTAACATACAGAATTAAACTATTTTGAATTTATTATTTAGTTCTAATTTGAACATTGAACGTATAACATATCTCTTATCTCATATCAGATAACAGCGTAACGATAACACAGCATCTTAGTTAGCGATTTTTTATTGAAACATAATAACACAGTGTGCGTTTTACTAAGTTCACGGTTGTTTAAGAGCAAAAATACATATTATAAAATGATAAGGTAACAAAATGTTGGAAAGAATGTCATTTCCGATTTTAAAAATAACGTGAAAAATCTACTCGTATAATAAATTAAAATAGCCATATTTCTTTCGGTTTGTGACAAAGGAAGTATTATTATACAAAAACTCCGTCGACACTGTATAGCTTTTACATTTCTTGTACTAAAAACTTGCGTTATTAACTTTTTTGTTTTTTAAACTGACATATATTTTCCCGGTTTTGTGTCAATAATTTTTTCTTTCTAAACATTTTAAAGTGTTTTTAATATTGTACTGGGAGTTCGGTAATAACTGGCCTCAGTAATTAAATAAATTTATTTACATATTCTTTAGTACACGTCGAATCTATCTCAGAAATTAAATTGTCAAAAAAATTTTACATCGAGATTCGGGAATTGTGCTTTACGTATGTTTTCGAGGAGTAAACATTTTTAATTCTTTTTTTTTTGGCGAAAAACTACGTACACTTTTTTCTCTTAAATGATTCTCTTCCAATAAGTTCAAACCATCATTGTCCATATAATTAATATGGTTAATACAATTGAACTGGTTGGAAGGGTTGTATTTCGACATTAAATTTTTAGTTTTATATTACATGGTATACATACAAGCACACTTGTACAACAAAAAAATAAAACCACCGTTGACTACAAATATGTGTATATTAAAACAGTCATGTAAAAATCGAAATTTAGTTAATTTGGCCGGAAGTCTAAGTAGGTTTTCCTACTTTCGACCACGTAAACTAAGTTATGACTTTTACATTACCGTTTTAATATATACACCGATTTTATTTGTTAGCAACGATGAACAGAACAGTTCAAGGTCCGACATTTAAATCTGTCAGCATCCGGTCGGACATGATGTTGGACAAGTAGCAAGGGAGGGAGCGTATGCTGTGCTAGGTCATAACGCAGTTAACGTGTACATTATCATATTTATGTTAAGATTTGTCTTTATGAACACTTAATTTTTGTCAATTTGTTGCTGTGTTTTGTGTAATTGTATAGAATAAACTCATAATTTAGACGTCTTAAGTAATCAGATCGTTAATCTCGTATTACAAGCATTTCTCTCATTATGCAAAAAAATTATTTAATTTTTAAAGCGGACCCTTTTAGATTTGGTTGACTCGTACAACTCCTTCGAAATATTCAACTTTGGTAATGGTGTCAGACTATGTAGAGGTAAGTTTTTGTACACCTGCATATAGACCGGGTCAAGCTGTACCGATTCCCCGACAACCATTGTTGACGGGCTATAATGATTATGCAATGGCTGTTTAGGGCATCTGTTGCCTTGCAATTTTCGCCTGACTTCTTTGTCTTCCATATCCCTCTGTTGTTTGAGCAACTTAAGCCGTTCCCATGCTCTAGTCGATCGGGAAACCGAATTAACACCGTTCATCATCACTTGTAGCGTGGTAGACGACGCCACACGTTTGATATCTGGTGGCAGCCGATATGTGTACACGGTTATGATATTGGATTTATCTAAACGAGGCCAAGGAGCAGCTGTACCTGTTGGTTGATAAATCATTTTAAAACAATACTGGACGTTAGACAAACTATGATGCTATTTAATAGTTTTAGCCTTACGTTAACGATTTATGGATATCAATTACAAAGTTAGTTGATTTTGTTTATAACATTTTCCATTGGCCAGTTAATTATAAACTGACATAAATTATATTTCATTTAATCATATTCAGTTTAAAAATACTATTAAACGTAAAACCAAAAATGGTACTCTTTTAAATAGATGGTTGTCTTACCTAACGTTCCTATGTAATGTCCGTTAATTGTCCATAACCGAACACTCATATCAGAACTGCTGGTCACCACCAATTTTATGTGCTGCACGTACTCAATATGTCTGACGGCAGCCAAGTGTCCTTGGTACGAGCTTATTAGTAAAACGTCTGGGTTCTGTACACTGCGTTCAGCGCGTCCAACGAAGAACGAATATATGAGAAACGGGAACCGGAGTCTGAGCAGAGGCATACTGATATATTGCTTTTCAATCACACCGAAATTGACTATGTACCACACTTTTATATAGCCTGTGGTGAAACACGTGAAGAGGTACTTGCTCTTGTCATCGGACGCCATTGACGTGACATAGTCACCGTCTTCGTGAATCGCTTTAAACTGAGCCACGTATGCCGGTATCTTGTACGTGGACCATATCTGCACGACCCCGTTACGAGTAGCTATAAGCAACGTTCCTATTCGCTTACCATCCTCTCGGCCTCGAAGGAAATGAGAGCATGCTGCTGCAAAGTACTCTCTAGGTGTGTACTTGACCCCGAGCCTCTGCATGCGTGCCTCCCTGGTCTCTGTCATTCCACTTAACTGGGTCGTTCTCGTCAACCTACTGTCGTCAGCTCGGTACTGCATACTCGACAAACCCCCAGAACTCATCACGCTCTTGCTGGCCATGCTATTCTTCTGACTTGCCGCTTTCGAGTCTGGTTTCATTTTAACCGGGTAAGTTTTGATTTGCTGACCGGTTTCCAACCTCCAAAAACCTATTTTACCACCGTATGACGTCGTAACTAACGTTGACGGTAGCTTCACACACATAGTTAGTATAGCTTCTTCGTGTTTAACTAACCATAATTTCCCCTTAGACACGAGCAGTGGGTCGTTGAACTCCGTGATCCTGCGGTCCCAACTCGACACTAATACCTAAACATACACGTGCACATACCAAATAGTCGTCATAAAAAACCTATTAATAAATATCTATTACGGCTAGTTTTAGTATCGATATATACCTTGTTAGGCAACCAGATAATCTCAGATATTTGACCCCTGGACGCTATACTTAATTTGTTCAGGCAGGTACCGTTAGTGGGGTCCCACATACGAATGGTACCGTTTTCAGCGCCGGTGACCAAAAGACCGCCAGACGGATCGAAATTGGCTGCGGTTATCTCTGCCGGAACAGTTTCGCCGAATATTTGCTTGGTGTGCGCATTAGGAGTCTTGTGAAGTAGTGCGCCAGACCACAGGTTCCAGACAGATATCACCGAATCTGCGGACACCGATACCAAAATCCTATACAGTTTATTGTATAATGTCTTGACGACGGCCGCATTGTGGGAATATCCATCGGTGAACATCTGGTTGATGTTTTCACCGCACGGCAGAACCACTATTGACCGGCTGCCCATGATTAGCGTATTGTTGGATTGATTGAACAGGATGGACACGTCCTTGAAGTCGGGCCTGAGCGCTATAAGACCGGTGTAAGTCATCAAGCACGTGCCTTGATGCACGCTCCACACGTTGATAGTGCGATCGGCACATATCGAGTACAATCGCTTGTTATTGTTATTATAAAACACATGCATGATGGGCGCGTTGTGTCCAGTAAAGTTGATGCTTCTCTGTTTGGTCGTAGCACTTGTCCCTTGGAAGCTCTCAATGCTCCACACCCTGACTACGCAGTCCCGGCTACCAGTGACTAAATGGGTGTTGGCGATTGTGCAAACGCACGAATACCCCAGAGGCGACGCGAACCAACGCATCCATCCATTTTCGACGGCTTGGAAATACACCATCGACCGTGTGGCTGACTCTGACACGGATACGATAGATGTGCCGTTATCGCAAAATTCCACTTGCAACACGTCGAAAGTATGCAAGTCGGGAAACTCCAATACGTGAAAAGGTAACGTCGCAGCAACTCTAGCAGTGGCCGCTTTGTACTTAGCCCGCAAAATAGTGTAGTCGTGTATAACATAACCATCGCCCGATATCATCCGAAATGGACCACGACTTCTGGTCATCATCGAAAGAATACGCACTCCGCCGCTATAATCACCGAACATTAGTCTAGAACTGAACTCCCGTGGGTCGGCGTCTCTCTTGTAGTAGTACGAAAAGCAAGTGACTATGTGGGGCAAGTTTTCAATGACCACACGTAATCGAAATTGATCGGCCAAGGTATCGTAGAAGCGTAGTTCGTTTTCCGCAGTACTCACTCCGACGATATTCAGGTCAGGCAGAACGACAAGAGCGGTGAGTTTGGTGCTGAACATATCCTGATGACAAAATTTAACATAATTTCATAGTAAACCTTAGAACGCGCTACACGCCTAAGAAGACTCTCTTTTTCTTGGCTACGAAGTTTACTGTACGCAATTATCACCAAGGCATCTACACATTATATAACATCACGTCACTTTTTAAGTCGACCACATAACATGCTCTTAAAATTATTATACAATAGTGTTTCCGAATCGGCGCGACCAGAAACAATTAATACTGAACGCCATGCGAGACGTAAAACATAATAAGGCGAGTGAATATCAAAGCAAGCATAAGTCACTACCTGGAGTTATCGGTTATGTGCCCTCCTCATTGATGAATACCTTCTTGATATTTAATAATCAAAATTGCTATGGAGAGCTGAAAGCGTTCATTTTGACACACAGTTTAACAAGTAGGGGATTCCATAGGAAATGTTTTGGCGACCAGTCATAAAAAACCCTATCACTCTACTTTTGACTTATATTGGACGCTAGATTTTGAATTTCAACCCGTCTCTAAATGTTCAACGCGCCGATCCGGTCGGGATACAGTGTACGTACATTACATTTCGGGATGGGGCCCATTCAATTTTCTTCCATTTCATGTCTAACGTCCAAAAGCTGACCATACCGTCTAAGCTGGCCGTCACGTATTCACCGTCGACAAACGTGGACACGGTATCTTTACCGAGAAGCGGTTTAAAGGCGACGCCTACAATAGGTCGCCTGTGTTTGTTGACGATTTTCACGGGCTTGTCCAATATCAACACGACAGGCTGGTTGGACGGTTGGAACTCAATTATGTCGAACTGCCTACGGTAAGCCTCGAACTCGACCGCCACGTATGCGACAAACTGCAAAAAACTGGCGAACCCCTCTTTCTTCAGATCCATTTTGGCAAACATGGCCCTGAAGTTTTCATCGGATATCTTAAGATCGTACGGCTCCAACACGGCCCTCAGCTGTTTTTCGGTAACGCTACCGGTGCTGGACTCGTCGTAGAACCGCTGCCGGATTTCAAATACCAGTTCTTTACTGATATTCTTCACTATGTTCCCCAGAAATATCTTCTTAATTGTCGGTTCGAATAGTTCTTCATTCGGCTCATCGTTGCCCGCACTTGTGTTCTCCGTCTAAAAACCAAATATCTGTTGCTTAATCGTCGCGATTTCAATTAATTTTTTAACAGGGATGGTAATTTTACCGTTACGTACCATTTTCAAACGTTGAAACACCGAAATCAAACTTGCAAATTATTTATCTAAGTGTTATGCTACACCAAACAACTTGTTTAATTATTAAACAATTTAACCCGTTACTTGGTTGATTATTTTAATCCAGATTGTTTTGTTAATATCACAAAAAATAGATAGAACAAAAAAAATACTTACATATTTATTTTACTTACAGATTTGAATCAAAGGTTTTTTTAGAGTGATTATACCTACTAATAGTTCTTCCAGACTAGATCTACACAACTCCACAATAATCCATTCCACTTCTCTGGCTTTTTTTAAACTGATTAAACTGAAAAATATACGTTAAATATAAAAATTGTAGCTTAATTTTAGCATAAACATTGCTTATTTATTTTAATTAAAATCAGCTAAAAAATTGAAATATTAAAATGTACAAGAAAGAATCCTGATGTAGTACTCTACACCAGACGTTGAAATATTGAATAATTCCTTGTCACGCTATTCTGAGTGGCAGTCAAATTGAGAGCATTTAGTTTTAATAGAAATAGTAGGTTACAAATTAATTAATAACGTAAAAAAGCAAAGTGAGCAATTTTTTTATATTTATGTGTAAAAAGATTTTCAAAATGGCAAAATCGTACAACAAGTAAGAAATACTGGACACGTTATATTTATAAGGACGCGAAATGTGTTGATTTCATATATTATTATCTCACAATTAGAAAAATACGGTAATGTAACTATCTGTTGGTGCGTAGAACGGTCGATTTTGTTATATTTTTTTGGCTAATTAATAGTTAGAGCAAAAGTTAATTAAATAAGTGTTCGTTGCTGGTTATAAATTGGATTTAGATTATTGCTTCCTTTTTGTTAAGCGTTTTGCAAAGTACTAGTAGAACATATTATTATCAATTATTGTGGTTTTGTCGTTAATCATATTACAGGTGTCTGTGTAGCGGCTGTCCGGCGCGCATCACATTTGATATAATGAAATGTTATTTATTATATTGTTATTTATCATAAATAAATAATTTAATTTAATTTAACACCAGAAGAAGTACCTATTATCCCAGACAACCTACAAATAGCACTTTTTTTTTTTTACTTTGTTGTTAAAATATCATAAATATAATATATTTTATTGTCAAATGCACGACATTTTAAAGTAAATTTTATTTTAATTCTCACTGGGTAATAAGTAATTTAATTAAGAGTGATAAAAATTCAGTATTTACCTAAAGCGATTTTTATTGATCAGTAGTCAGTGTATTATTTTTTCGACACAAATTATCAATCCTAAAGATAAAAAACAACTGAATAATATTAATAAGTAACATAACATAAATGTTCGACAATTACAAACATTCATTAAACTACATAATATACGACACCCAATAAACCTCTTGTAAATTTCAAAACAGCTCCTTCATACATACTCGCCAAATAGATATCTATATGCATCTAGATATCACATGCATTAAAACCAATTTAATCATAAAAATAAAATCTCCATCAAGAACATATACAACTTCATAGATAACAAATTATAACATACCAATAGTTGTAAAATTATATCACTAGGTATCAAAAACCTATGTACTAATACCCAAATAAGATGCTTTAAACAGTCAACGTTAATTTACCACAAAAAATCACTTTACCTTAAAGTTAAGATAGAATCATTTTCTCCTTATAACAGTAAAAAATTAGACCGTAAGTGTATTACTTAATTTAAATCATTTTATTAAGTCCTTTAAAAAACAGATATTCGGCAGGTCTTGTTGAGAGGCGACACCATTACAGTCACCACAGAGCGTACGATTTCGGACATACCGAAATAATCAATTAACCAGTGTTAACTAACAAATTATTCTTTTATTTATTATTAATTGTCTTAATTACCTTGTAACTACTAATTTTTACATTAAATAATATTATGTAAATCTAAAAAACTATCGTTTTGCATATTTTTTTAATTCTATCTTCATAATACCATATTAATAAGATTAGTTTACGATAATTCACCAACTCTCAATTTTCGTTTTAATGTAGGTATAGGTATAAAGTCGACATTACTACAATATGGCATGTCGTTATTATTTTACAGTAAGGAAGATCACAGGGAACTTATCGAAAAAACAATAAGTAATGTAAAACAGTAACGATGACCGTTTATACAAATTTTATTATGATAAAACTAAAAAAAAAAAAAATACATAATATTAACTTACACAATATATTTTTTAACAATATTGATTACAACAATAATATTCATCTGAGTTACACAAAAATATAAAATACAACCAAAATCCCATAACAATTTAAAGTTAATATGAAAAACAAAAAAATAGATTTTTTTTATAAACTCAAGTTAAAAAATCAGTTAAACATTTACAAAAAACAAATATTAAAATAGTTTTCATTAGTGTAATTAAATTAAAAATCATATATACTCTGTTCTTATTCCGAACAGAGTATAGTATAAACTATAAAAATGGATTGAACACATATTCATGTGTAATGCTTACAACAATACAGCATGTAAAAAAAAAATGAAAATGGTACATTGGTAAAAAATATACTACATAATAGTAGTAGAAATTAAGCTTAACTGTATCGGTAAAGCTACTGAGGCTAAAAACTGTACTAACGCTACAAAGATTTGATTTTAGTACACTATCATTAATAAAATTAATTTTTTTTTTTTAATTGTGTTACAGTTTTGGTCACTAATTTAAAAAATATGTTACAGTTGTAATTTTAAAACAATAATTAAAAAAAAAATAATTTATATTGTTATTCTAAGAATGACCAAAATTGAAAAGAGGAGGCTGCTAAAATAAAGATTGAGTAAGCTTAACAGTCTAATATCTAACCTAAGGAATACAAATTCTACAAATTTCGGTGGAATGTTCGTACAATAATAATATATTACTTTAAAAAAATTTACTTTCAATACAATATAATGAGGTAAAAAAATATTTAAAAACATTTTTTAGTTCATGCAATCGAATCATCAATGGTTAATTCAATAGAAATTTCGTGGTTCATAAAACAACATTAAGTGGCTCACGTTAAACATATTGAATTTTAATAAAAGATAAAATTTATAAGTATATTTTTTTTTGTAATCTAGCATTTTGTGTTTTAATTAATGTGCCATTATAACCTTTACAAACATAAAAATGTATAACATTGTGTCTTAGCTTCTAATAAAGATAATTCGGAAAAAATTTTCTGTATAAATATCAATTTTAGAAATAAGGGTAATATTGAATTCAGATTTAATAACCACTTCTTATGCTAATACAGGAAAAATAATTATATTTTTTTTTATTAACAAAAAAATCTATTAAGAAAATCCTGTTATAGAATAACTATAATTATAGTATTAAGTTTTTTTAACTAAAAAATAAATTTAGTGTTTTTATAATGTTTCCTAACTCAGTTTGGATTTTTTTAAAACATTATTAGACATATAATTTAAAAACAATTTTGGCGCAATTAGTACTTAAATATAACAAAATAGAAATTGTAAAAAAATAATAACTCATAAGGGTTTATTATTTTTTATCTTCACCTCCCACGCTAAATTTATAAATTAACTACTGAACCGATGCCAGTTGATAGGCTGATTTTATTTTAAAATAATAATTCAATAACGAACTATAATGATGACAATAATACACAAAAAAAATATATACATACAAACAGGGTTGTTCTTTAGTTACGCTAACTGACTGATTAACAAATGTAAAGGTTTGTTAATAGATAAATGTATGAAATAAATGTACTAAGTTCAAAAATAGAATTATTTCAGTTATCGGGTAATATAAAAATATCAGCGTGTATAAATTAGTTTTTATTTTAAATAATTTTAATTTTTTATAAAATTGAATATGTTTCATTTGAATAAATATTGCATTTTTTCTTTCAATGGGGCTTATTAAAAACGCAAGAGTACGTAACTAAATGGATGAAAATAATGTGTAATCAAAATGTACGTTAAGATATTTTTGCTTTACCACTGTTCTTCTTCATCCGCTTGCACGTATTCAGAAGTGCCGCCGACATCCTGAAACAACACATTTATTATTATAGCCATATATATATATTAACAAAATAAAAAACTTTCAAGTTCCATTTGCGTAGGTAGCAAGTATGAAATATATGAAAAAAATACATTAATTAAATTTAAAAAAAAAAATCTTTGATGGAATACTTAATTACCGTTCTTATATCGTCAAACTGATCAGGTTCGGCAGCATAGCCACCAAAGTCAGATAACCAATCTGGTATTTCCTGCCCAGCCTAGAAAACAAAAATCAAATAAAAAATGGCTGTGCACTACACTTATTTGCTTCTAGCGATAAGTTGAAAAAAGTCGTTTCACAAACTTACCTGTTCCAAAATTCTTCTCAATTCTGGAGCCAATGGTCGATCTTGATCCGGGTCAAAAAAGGAAATGGCCTTGCCAGCGTTTCCCAACCTCCCAGTACGACCAATACGATGCACATACTCGTCAACATTTTTAGGTAAATCGTAATTAATTACAGTCGTCACACCCTTTATGTCTAAAATTAAAAAAAAAAAAGCATCATCAGATTCCCATCGAAAGTAAATTAGAAACCTATGTTCAAACTGTATGTGTGGACATACAGTTTGAACAGTTTTAAAACAAAAGTCTTTTATAAAAGATAACACAATACATATTAGCTGAGATAAACCAACAAAAAAAAACTGCTAATCAAGCACCCTTAATGCTGTACTAATAAATATACAACATAGATTTAGCTTTAAGTTTAAGAAAAATTAAAAACATAATAGAACTTCATGTGGCATTCTCTTAAATAATTATATTACAATAAAAATATATTTAGTCTTAAAGTTTCGCAAAAAAAAGTATAAGTATACATACCAAGTCCTCGAGCGGCAACAGATGTTGCGACCAAGATCTTCATTTTTTTAGTTTTGAAATCCCTCAGAGCTAGTTCTCGTTCGGGCTGTTCACGATCACCGTGAATACTAGTAGTAGGATAATTTTGATCACTCAGATATGCAGCGATGAAATCTGCATTTCTTTTCTGTTCCACAAAAACAATTGTACCTTGGACATCGCCTAAAAAAATATATATAGTATTAGTGGTGATGGAGCATATTAGTTTGGAAGACCACAAGTTTTCAGTAATTATTATAGCTTTGATGGTACTATAATAATATTAATTATTATAAATTATTTTATTAACAATAGACAAATTTTGTGAATCTTGTTATTTGATTTTTCGGGTTTCCTCAATAACTATTTTAAAAAAATCGACCTTTAGTTTTAAATTTTGTTATTAAAAAAGTAATAAAGTATCTATGTATATTTATACATTTTTTGAGTTCAGATTAACCTACAGACAATTTTGACTGGGCAAAATATTATATTTTAACTCAAATTTTACTCACCTATTTCTTCAAGAACTTTCAACAATTCACCTTTTTTGCTAAACTTCTGCACTTGAATTAATTGTTGCGTTACATCTTTACAAGCTCCTCCAATCTCACCAACCGCAACAAACACGTAATCCTGTTTTAGATACGTGCATGCCATTTGCTGTATCTCACTAGGTAGCGTAGCCGAAAACATAAGCGTTTGTCTTTCCGCCTGAAAACATTTAATTAGTTATAGAAAGTATGTAAATATATCTGATAATAATGTAATAATCCTGATATTAATTTCCTCCATTACTTTTTCATGTAAAAGTAATGAACTAACCATACGAGATTTTAATACAAATTGAAATATAAATGTCAGTATTTTATTAGTATATTTATGTTAACACCACAATATAATTACCGAAGAAACCATTGTAGAATGATGCAATACACTTTCGATAGCTGATTTAAATCCTAAATCTAACATTCGATCAGCTTCATCTAGTACAAAAAATCGCACTGACGAAAAAGTTATGACACCACGATTGACAAAATCGTTCAGACGTCCTGGTGTGGCCACGAGAATATGAGCACCTCTCTGTTAAAAAAAAAATTCAATCAATTAATGGTATTTTGCTGAGTTCATACCATTTGCTTACCTTTATTCTGTCTATTTGATACATAGTTTTTGTTCCTCCATAGGCGAGTTCACTTTTAATCATAGTTCCTCTGCTCAATTTTCTGACCACCTCACAAATCTGTATAGTAAGCTCTCTGGTAGGCGACATTATAACAGCTTGTGGTTCACAATGATCGTAGTCGGCAATCAACTCTGTTGGATTACTCATCAAGTCATTTAAAATTGGTAAAACAAAAGCTGCCTATAAGCAAAAAAAAAGATACATAAAACTAGAAAACTATAATAAGAAAAATGTATTATTACCGTTTTGCCAGAACCAGTTTGAGCACTTGCCATCATGTCTCTTCCGTGAAGAATGATAGGTAAGGAATATTTTTGAACTGGCGTTGGTACAGAATAATTTAATTTTTCTAAGTTTTCCAACAATATTTCTCGCAAGCCAGCATTTTTAAATGAATTTATATTTGTGGGTACATCTATTCCACTCACTTTTACTTCAATTGATTCATATTGATCGAAATTATTACCAGCGACCATAACCACGGCAGAATCATCGCTGTCGTCTATTTCTGGAGGAATATATGTCGGCTTCGGTAATGCAGGCTTTTCTGACTCTTCGCTGTTATTTCCATATCCACTACTTGAATAATGATCATTGTTCTGTTCAAATTTTCTACCTGTACCTCGACCACGACCTCTGCCACGTCCACCACGGCCTCTTCCTCTAAACCCTGTACCTTCGTTTTCATCTCCATAGCTCTGAGTGTTGTAACCATTGGATGAGTCAGTATTGTATCCTCTGTTACTGCCAGCATTTCTACCTTGGTAACCTCCATAGTTTTGTTGGTAATTTTGCTCTACACCATAACCATTATCTGTGGTGCCTTGATCATAGTTGGTAGAGGTTAATGTATTTCCCCAAGAATCATGCGTAGGTTGCTCTACATTACAATAATTGTCATTACTTCCATACCCATTTTCTTCATATGAAACACCATTGTCGTAATTTTGGTTGTCACATGGATCTTCTCCGGTCTCTTTATATCCATTCTCAGAATCTGCTTGGGGTACAGAATTTACCCCTGGTATGTTGTCCCAATTCTCTTCTTCCATATTTATGACTGCAACATATGAAATGGTTATTTATTTATTCAATAATAATACTTGGCTAATTAATTAACAAAACAATAATAATTTAATTATACAATAACTTAATCCGATATACAAATAATAAAGAAAACTACATCTTAAGAGGCACCAGCCAAAATAGTGAATGTGATAATAGCAAAAATGTATTTCAATATAAATAAATACTGTCATGTATGCACATATACAAATACTATTGTGTTTTAATCCTTCCGGTTTGTCTTCAAATCCTATTACCCTCAAAATAATTAAGTATTTTCATTTTTTTTTCTTTCATATATTTAATAATTTAACAATTATCTGCTAGAAAAAATTACTGGTTAATTGTTACAGTTTTAAGCAATTACTTTTGAGGATTAACAATAGTTTATTTTAAAATCTAAACAATTCAATTAAAAATGTTATTTAATATGATAAACATTGCTGGAAATCACTTTACTCCTTAAAGTCTCTTACTTATAATATACTGTAGAAAATTAGGAACACAATTTGTAATTCATAACTGTTTCAAACAATCAAAAGAGTAATTATTGAAAATATATTCCTACAACTTATTATTATTACCTACAAATATGTAAATCTTTATTTTTTTTATTATTTTACTTTTAATAAATTAACAGGTTCTGTAATGGTAAATGTATAATATAATATACTAAACATTTTTATTTATATGTTTTTATATAAATAAATATACTTGTGTATGTGAATGTGTGTGTGGGAATTCCTAATTACATGTATTTTAAAAAAGAAATCTGGAAAGTAGTTTATGGTTATAATGAGAAAATTCAGTGATTTGAACACACGAAGATAGATAATATAAAAAATATTTTGTAATATACATTATGTGAATATTTTACTTATTACCAATTTTATGATACATTTAACTTATATATTGACTTATCTATTATTTTTAAAAGGCCATATACAGCTATTAAGCAATTTAACTATATTTAAAAACTACCTATTTAAGCATTATAAGTCTGTACCTAGGGACTAAAAGGACCAATGTCAATTTCTGGCATAAACTGTTAATCCACTAGACATGAAAATTAAAACATACTTTATAAACTGTAAAAAAATGACACTTTTAAAGCAAAAATTAAAAAACTTATGAAGAAATTTGTAAAATAATTAACACAGAGCCTCATGGAAAATAAAACTTAAAACCTCATTTGCCAAGTTACAAAATTTGAGATAGGTTCTTTTATACCCAAGGTACTGAAGTAGTCTCTTAATCAAGAAATACCGAGTTGCTATTCAAACATTAAATTCAAATAAAGTGTTAAACTCCCATTTACAATTTGTTTAACTCCCAGAATCAATAAAAAAGAAACAAATCAGAAAAGCAAAAAAACTCAATAAACAATATACTATCTTATTTTGTAAAATATCAAATATGTTTCCTTGAAAAGAAGTTATAATGAACTCTCTATAGAACTCCCAAACACAAAAATAAAATAATTTAGGTACTCAAGAGAGTAGAGCGCTATTTACTACTTAGGTATATTATGTGCCAAAGATACAAATAAATAAATATTTCTTTATAAAACAAGTAGTTTCCACCAAATCACATTTGCCGTGTAAATTGCCAACTAATAAAGTATAGCCATTATGGCAAAGCACGATAAGCCCATTGTAGTTTCCTTTCTAAACGCTACAGTTACGAAAATTTGTTTTTTCGGCGAAAATCGTTTTCTAAACAAAGTGTTTTGGATGTGTGCAATACCTATTGTTTGTTTATATAGGTACCTAACGAGTAAAAATTAAATTTAAAAAATAATGCTATTCAACAGTTGGGTGTATAAAACAGATTTAACAGAGCAGAACGCCTAATGGATGCTTCGAAGCGTAGACTATTGAGGAATGAGGCAACAAGGAAATGAAATTTTAATAGTATCACGGTTAATGTGCACTTACCGGCCGGTCGATGATATTGATTGAGAAACGGTTAACAATTCTTGGTTGCAAAATTCGGTTTCGACTGCGCACAACAATAATAATATTACTCGGATGTAACTCCGGTTGAAAACGTGAAGTGAGATTGATATTAATCAGCGTTTATTTGTGCTCCACACGGAATACACTACTGTTTTATAATAATTTTTTTGGTTAGGTATTTTAAATTATCAAAGAACGCGCTATAGTAAATTATATTTTATCATACAAACACACGGTTATTATATCAGCCGCAGACGCCAGACGCACTATAGCGACGAATGTTTTAGGTTTGCCCAATGGTGCTGTGCTTCTATCATGTATACATACATTTCGTGCGATACGCATAAAAACCTGATAATGTTATATGATACTACGCTAGCACACGTGTGTTTGTGGTGTGATAGTGCGATGAAAAAATACCTGAAGGTCGTTATTACAAAACAATATTATGTATATATATATATATAAATGTATATCTTTTATAAAAAAATTAATTTTGGAAACTCCCATCGGTGTTTGGAGGGGAGACCGCTGCACCGGCGGCAGCGGATTAAAATATAATAGCATGCTGCAGTGGTGGAATTTGGAAAAAAAAACTGTATGATTTATTGTGTCCATGTGTTCACCAAAAATTATTTTGGATGTTACCATCGGACATCGTCGTACATAGCTATAATACGAACGTACCACATTGGATTCGGTTCGTTGGGAGCGACTCGTGAGTCGTACCCACAGATATATACTACAGTTGTAGACTGTATTATAGTGTATATATCTGTGATTGTAACTGAGTATTGACCTCTTGGCAGATGGCCCTAATCGCGATAACGGCAGCCGCTAGCGAGGAATTTAGAGATGGGATTTTCGTTAATTTTACCATTGATTAAAATATAGTAAAATTATAATTAATCAATGATTTTACTGAGCTAGTTTACTCGTTCTTTGTCTACATAAGCTAGTACAGTAAATGATGTTAAATAAATAGTTCCAACAATTTGGAATTTACAAATAATATATAAATTACAATATTTACAAATATATTTAATTTTGTTTTTAAATTGTAAACAAAAACCTACCAGTTGACCTTGAAAACCAAACGTTGATCAGCTTGTTAAAAAATAATATATATACAATATAAATATTTTAAAATATCATATTCACGATCATAATATAATTTGATCTGTCAGATTAGACAAATCAAAAAAGTAATTATTAATTAACTTTTTAGATTACCTTATAGTTATTTTGAAAAATGGCTCGTTATATTATTAATATTTTATAGTGAAAACAAAGTCGGTAATATCTTTTTTTTGGATATCGGAAAAATTGATTTTAAATTTAGTAACTTTCTCATGCCCAGACCCCAGTCTTTAAAAGTTTAAGATATTAGTATGGTACATTTTGATGTTACAATTTATAGTAATATAAAATACACTACCGATGTAGTCATGCATTTCGAGTTTGGTGTCTAGTAAAACAATCTAACTTTTCTATTTATTTAAATAAAAACAACATAAATTAAAAGTAATATGTACATCTGTGTAAGTACTAGTTTTAATATGAGAAATTCATATTAAAAAAATAATATGAATGTAAAAGTTAAAACTACAGCTGTAATACTTGCAACGACAGGTGAAACAAATTGACAACAGATAACCTGACACCTGCTTTTAGCTGTAACTAAAAACACATGAAAATATATTCGTACATATTTATATGTAATATAAGAAAATTAAGTAGGGAATAAAAAAACCAGTTTTACAGTCCCTATTAGAAACTAAAAAACTGCCTGTTTTACTCTACTCTTCCCTAATAAAATATTTAATGTTTTTCTATACTGTCTATACAAATAAGAGTTAATAGTTATTTAACTTGATTATACTTGATTAAAGTTAATGAAATAAGTATCAACAAGTAACCTATTTAAAAAAATTTAATATATATATGGTTGACATGCTGACATTTCTCTAGATCATTTAGTAGACTTGACATTTTCACTCCATACTATAAAACGTCCATTTATCGTTAAAATTTTAAAAAAATTATTTTTTTCTAAAACTATTTTATTTAAATTTCTTCTCACTGCATTATAGGAATTCGGACATATTTTTGTTCTGACCAAGTGTTTATTCTCATATCTTGTTCTAAAAAATTATTTTTCCACAATTTTAAAATTTTTAATTTTAAAATTGTTCAGTACCTTTGATAAAAAAAGTAAATTATAAAAAAATGGTTAGAAATAATTACAAAAAGCAAATAAAAAAGGCGAGACATTTTTTCCAAGGAAGAGATTCTCAGAGATTTAAGTCTGTTTTCAAAATATTTATCACATCAGTATATTGAACGAATGGAGGAACAAACGTACGTCTAAACATTTATATTGCGTACAAAATAGATAGAGACATGAAATACCATTATTCACTCCCCTTTAGTCTTTTGGTAAATGACACCGATTTATTTAAAATTTCTCCTTTCATTGTCTTTATTAGTATCGAGTTGGTTTTTCATTAGATTTATTGGACGTTTAAACAGCCTTGATCGTCCTCCAAACCTTAGTTGACCAGATTGCTTTTTGCCTCCAAAACCACCACCTGCAAAATATTTATTATCTTAAGCACTCTCCACGCCTAAGTAACCTTTTTGGAAATATTGCGTCTGTTGGCATTTAGATTATTTTTCTCTTAACGGAAACAAACAAAAATGTTGGCTTGTGTGGACAGTACTTTAAACAAATATTTATAACTAAATACCTACCAAGCCGCCGTGGTTTCCATCCGGGCAATAAACGACCACATTCAAAGTCTACTAGTATTTCACTATTATTTAGTACTAATGAGTTACATTTTTTATAAGCATTAAGAGCCATTTCAGGTGTTTTATACTCAATGAAAGCATAACGCTTACTCATTCCTGTGACAATGTCTTTTACCAAACGTAATGCTACCATTCGACCATATCGACAAAATTCCTAAAATACATGTACATTATTTTAATTATTTTGATCAATACAACTAAAACCATTTTTAGTTCAATATTTTTTAATTACATTCTCTATATCTTTTTCAGTTGTATCCAAACTTAACCGGGTGACAAATATTGTACATAAAGGATCACCCTTTACTTTGAAATTGGCTTTAAATTTAGAGTGCACAGCTCTCACTACACCTAAATCGTGTGGTTCTTTGTCAGTACTGTCTATACTCCCAGCTTTAATTGGATCGTAAACAACTGTGTGTGGGTACCAACATTTTACTTCTGGAATATTTGGTTGATTTTCTGGTAAATTGACTGCCATGGTCAGGGAAATCTAAAAAAGTAAAGATTAATGATTATACTAATAAAATATACATTAAATTAAGTAACCACATTATGATACTTACCAAGTCGGTTTAAGTAATTAAATAATTCATAAATTATAATATCAAATTTGTACGTTGTTAATATTTAATTGAAGACTAATTTGGACAACTTTAACATATTGTAATCTAGTCTGTGCTTTTAATACGATATCCTAGAAAATAAATTTTTTTAGACCATACTATTTAAATTTATAAAAATTAACATTTTATTATTAATCACGTACAATCATTGTCTTTAAACATACAAGAAAAATCAAACATTAACTGTGTGAGAATAAAATTACATTGGTATTTGGTAAGGTGTATTTATTCAATTTTTTTTTTTAAATTAAGTTACAGTTGATATCTAATTGATGTTATCAAAAAATGATAAGAATATTGTTAACCATTGGTGACCATAACCGTGTTTGTATTCAGTATTATTGTTATTAACATCCATAGACCTAAAAAGAAAGTCTGGTTTGTTCGTTTTGACAAAAAGACAAAAGTGTACTCGTTTTCACAACAAGCATAGATTAAATACATGTATTTAATCTATGCAACAAGTGTACACCAAAGCGTTCGTTTTGATATAGTGTTGTATCAGTATACACTTTTTTCACATCGACCGTAGGGCGTAGAGTAGGCATGAAAAAGTGTAAACTACACTGACTAGTGTACACTTTTTTTCAAAATGAACAAACCTTTTCTAGGCCTATGGGATATTATGTTAACATCACAGAATAGATAAAAGCAGAAGGATCACTTTCAATGTAAACAAAAAAGTGACGACCATTTTGTAAAAACCTATTTAGTATTTTGTGTTACATCTATACACAACTAAAAATAATAATGTATATATCTTATATAGATACATATAAGTTATAACATAATAGTGGTGTAACTTAAGAAGATGACCACCGTGTTTTTGTGAGATATCTAATATATTTGGACATAATCGGTAGGTAATCTTCCTCTTCGCGCGGATTGTCGGTAAATGCGACACAATCAAAGAGATGCTAAATATTGTATACTACATATTCGGCGAATAGACGAGGCGCGTGAACCCGGCTTAAGTTAATAATATAGACAAGAGAAGATTAGTGAAATGGTACAAATTTACTAATAATATAAGTATACATACTTGGCAATTATTTAAGTATCCCAGCCAAATTTTGTTATACTAGTTTTAGCCGTTATTTAATTAAAATGTAAGATTATATTGTATTAAGTCCAACCAGTCTTATTTGCTTTAAGGTTGCCTTATGCCTCATCAGTTACACGACGCAATACCTTGTGAAACAGTCCCATATGATATACTAACAACCTCTAACTAAACTTAGAATAGCTGAAGTCTGGGCTCTATCAAGTGTGTGGTATGGGTGACTACCTAGAGCTAAAGAAAATTGCCTATAACATAGATTATGTAATAGATTACATAATCAATGCGTATACTTTACTCCTTAAGAAATTCATGGTGTGGCCACCTTTTAATTTTTAATATGTACTGTTAAATCCTAACACCATTTATACCTATTACATTGGTATTAGGTACCTATTTAAAACATTGACCTATCTTATTGAAATAATGTTTTTATTTTATTAAAATTTATTTTTAATTTAAAATTCAGAACTATTCAACTATTCAAAAGAAATAGTTTAGTCAATAATCGCGACTAGCAGAAAGCATAAGAAAGTGATACTTGAACGCAAATAAATCGTAAAATATTATGCTCTTATAAGTTATAACATCCACTTAATCATTTTATTATTTCTAGACTTTTTATGATAGAGGATATGGGTTTAAATAAATAATTGATACTTGGTACCAAATTTATGAACTGACCTCTTTTTATTTTAATTACATATTAGAATTGTAAATCTGGCTAACACGAAATTAACAGATGATTAAAAAAACAACAGTCACACTTACACTCCATTTTAATCAATATATTTAAATATTACCATGACTATATATTTATTTAAAAATTAACTAGACGGTTTTAAACGTCTAAACCCTGAATCAATGATTAACTCCAGGTTCAATTCGATAAGAATATTAAATTGTTTTATCAGATATAAACAAGGTAATATAATATTTTATTAAATAATACTTTTAGTCGTAAATAAATAACTAATCAGGTTTACTATAAAAGTAGCGATTTAATGCTTCTAACATTACCATTTCTATATAATTGTCATGTGGACAATTCCAATATAAATAATATGTGGTCGTGCATTTTTATGAATAAGGATTATGCAGTTTTTAAGTTAATTTACCTAATCCAAGGAATAAAAATGTTATTTTATTTGCGAAACGTCTGTAACATGATTTACATGTTGTTTTCACTTTCTCACATAACATAATATTACCTAGATATATTAATTTCGTCAACTGATTCTGAATGTGAATTTTTTTCACGCACTTACAATTAAAATGTATGAATTAGGTATTTTTTATTTTTTGTACTGTGTAACAATATGATAATCAGGCATTACTAATACAGTTAAACAAATGTTTTACTCGTGTGTTTTCTAAATTCGAAAACAGTGATAAACCACAATGCAACAGCAGTGCAGATGTTGTCCGCGAAATTCTGAGCCAAAAGGTAACCGGTGCATGCAACTAATCTGCACTATATTATGTCCGTGTATGCGATGGAGAGCCTACGGAAAACCAAATTGTCGACCAGTACAAACTTGTGGATGCTGTGAATCACCGGTAAAAAGCTGCAACACAGTCAAATGTTGCACCAAACCGATTGCGTGTGGAAAGCCTACAAAATTAAATGTCTGTGATCCACAGAAAATGCAATGGAGGTGTAACACGTAAGTCTAAATTATTTCAGCAACTAATCATTTAAAAAAAAAAAAAATATTTACCCCGAATTCCGAAATGTTACCGGTAAAATTGTTCTAACTAAAAGTCAAATAGCCATCTCAAATATTTCTACTCGAATACTTTTGAAAGTTATTTTATATAACACTATTTATTGCTTAGTACCAAAGATAAAAAAAAATTCTTATAGACCATTTAACAATCATATTATGTATTTTTTTTTTGTAGACGAGGCTAAATTTAAATTTCTTACATAACGATACACCTAAGTATTTAAAACACCAACCCAGTGCCGCAACTACCGCCGGTGCAGGCGGTGCATCGCACCGCCAGACAAGCCTCCGGGTTATGTTTAAGGGGCCTCATATTTATGAAGACATAACAATTCAAGTCTAAACATTCATTCCTTAAAACAAGGTTTAAACAATTTTTAGTATTCGATTGTGTATTTTTAATGATGACACTTGAATATCTACATTGGCCATTGGATTTAAAATTGATAAATTTTATTTTGTTTCTGTAGTTATCGATATTATGATTATATGACCACTCGATAGCCAAACGTGTGTCGTATAAATAAAGGCTATAAATATTTATATAAAAATTAAATGAAGACCAAACACAGATAACCACCTTATTTAAGAAAAAAAACTATTCCATTTATTTCCATGTATTATCTAATAACAGGAGTGATATGTTTCCAAAACTATATATAGATTTATTGTATTATGATACTGTCTACGCGCCCGCACCCAGCCGCTGCACATCTATTGGACTAAAAAAAAAATTGAATCATTTGAGTTTATTTTATTACTAACAATCTGGGAAAATATATTAAGGAACTTCCATTTAGTATCTAAAAAATTACAGAGCCCAAATACAAATCTTCATGATGCATGTACATTTTTAAAGGAGGCTTCTTCTTCTATTATAAGTTTAAGGGATCATTATAAAGAGCTAGTTGCTTCTGCAAGTGAGCAATGTAATAAGTGGAATATACCAATCCAAAAAACTATTCGTCGCCGTGTGTATTCAAAAAAGATTTTTGGTGATGTTGCCGGTGATAGAAGACTCGATAGTTCTGAAGACAATCTTCGTGTGATGGTTTTTTTACCAGTTATAGATACAGCAATTTTACAACTTCAAGAAAGATTCAAAGGATTATTATTTAAAGGATTATTTGAGGTTACTAAAAGATTTGAATTTCTGGTACCGCATAATATATTATCATTTAGTGAAGAAGATATCACTAAAGCATCTTAGGACTTTCAAATATTTTACAACCATGATTTAAGTACTGATATAACAAGGCAAATTCTATCCCTTAAATCTATATTAAAGGATTCATTAAAAAATTTACATTGTATTAAACACCTTTTACAATGTATTTTAGAAAATGATATGGCCTCTATGTACAATGATATTTTTAGTGCATGTATCATATTTATAACATTGCCAGTTACTGTAGCCAATGCAGAAAGATCGTTTTCAAAATTAAAAATCATAAAAAACTACTTAAGAAATTCAATGTCTCAAGATCGCCTGATAAACATAAGTATTTTAAATATTGAACGAGGAAGAACAAAAGAATTGGATATAAACAAAATAATTCAAGTATTTGCTACTAAAAAAGCAAGAAAACAAAATTTTCTTAAATAAACCAAAATTGAATTATAATTATTGTTACATACATTTTTTTTTTGACATGTTATAACTTATACACATATTTAAATCATAATATGTTTCAAGATTTTTTTGTTTTTGTAATAAACTGATTTATACACGTATGTAACAAGTATAAAGGTAATTAAAAAAAAAAGTATTCAAGCGTTTAAGTTGAAGCTACCTGCCAATTATAGTTCAGCTCTTATTAAGATTAAGTAAGTATTAAATAGGGTTAAACTTTAGTTTTATAATTGGGGACCCTACAAAACTTTGGGTGAGCATTATAGTAAATAGGGGCCTCTAAAATCAGCCTGCACCGGGGCCTCTATAATGGTAGTTGCGGCACTGCACCAACCACATTAGATGAAATTTTACCGAATGTCATACTTCGTAATTTAAATTTGATAAAGACCATACATTTAACCCAACTACATCATACCCCATTTGATAATATAACAATTTTTAAAAAATAATTATATGAATGTGGCAAAAATTATGACATTAAAGAAAAAATCCAAATTTAGAACTACTACTAAAACCCTTAAAAAATTTAAATTTTGGACCTTTTGAACTGGCAATGTGACTTTAATACGATTTTTAAATAATAGAGATCAAACTATGATAAAATGTAAATGTACGGAAAACGGAACAAGGACAATCCAAGTTCGCTGTCCACGAGAGGTAACTACGAAGAGGTCGTTTGTTTGCGGCTCAAAAATCAGTCATTGTCGTCGTAAATCACTTTGATAAACATTTAACAAATTGAAAAATACATCAGACTATTACATTACAAAAACATAACAAATAAATTGAATTTTAATTAATAATTATTTAATTTTTTTTAAAACATTTTACT